TGAGTCAGGATAATCACTTGAACCCAAGAGGTGGAGGTTGCATGAGCTGAGACGGCGCCATTGCACTCCAGCCTGGGCAACAAGAGCTAAACTCCCTCTCAGAAATAAATAAACAAACAAATAAATAAAATCACAAGAAAAGGTTTATTGTTAAAAACAGAAAAGTGTGAATTTTCAGCTACAGGACCAACATAATGGTGATAACATGTAAGATTGGACCAGACTTCCTTATGTGCAGATCACACAATGCACAGATCTAAAGCTTCATGTGTCTGAGCAGTGGTCTCAGTCTCTTATCAAACCCCCTATATTATTGTGGAATCAGAACTTCATTTCAATGAGAGTGGGCAGACTGGGGACAAGGACACAGCAGATGCTGGCCACTGAGAAGAACAAACAGTGGGACGACCTTTCACCCAGGTGCCAGCCTCCCAGGTGCTCAGGCACAAGAGGACTCAGGTGAGGAAGTGTGAATAGCTCAGTGCAAATCAATGCCTCTGGTTTAAGAAAATCAAATGACGTTATTCATTCATTCAACAAATATTTACCCAGTGCTTCCTAGATGCTAGTTGCTGACTGCCCTAGGAACTACAGATCTAGTAGTGAACGAGCCAGGCACATTCCTGGCCTCCCACAGCTTACAACGTGTGTTTAGATGCACACAGATACCATCTGCCTGTGGTACTTGGGGTTGATCTTGAGATTACAAGATGCAAATATGTCCTATGAAAAGACCAGTTTGCAATCGGCAAAGGGATGAGATCCACAAGTTGTTCAGTAAATATGGTTTGGACAAGGAGGGTGAAGTACACACTAATGTCTTGGATGGATAATGTTTCTGATGAAGTGGCTAAGTTGTTTTTGTTTGTTTGTTGTTTTGAGACTAAGTCTCACTCTTGACCCGAGGCTGGAGTGCAAAGGCGTGATCTCGGTTCACTGCAACCTCCGCCTCCCGGGTTCAAGCGATTCTCTTGCCTCAGCCTCCCGAGTAGCTGGGATTACAGGCGCCTGCCACCATGCCCGGCTAATTTTTGTATTTTTAGTACAGACGGGGTTTCACCATGTTGGCCAGGCTGGTCTCGAACTCCTGACCTCAGGTGATCTGCCCATCTCGGCCTCCCAGTGTGCTGGGATTACAGGCATGAGCCATCGCGCCCGGCCAGAAGTGGCCAAGTTGTTAAACAGCTAATATTTACAATGTTTTTCACGAGCTAAGCATGCTACATAACATAATTTCATGTAATCTTCTGTTTGTAGGAGTTAGGCACAACCACCACCCATCCCCTATTTGATAGGTGTGGGAACTGGGTCTCAGGGAAGTTATCGAGCTTCTCAAGGTCCCATCCCTAGTAAAGGCAGACTCTGGGTTCAGGCACTGGACACCCTGGCCTGCCATAACCATGGGGCATGACCGCCTCTCTGGACGCTCTTGTGCGAGGCACCTCGTAAAGCGCCCTGGCTCTTCAGGGGCCCCGTGCCGGGCACTCTGTGAGGATGCACAGGATACCTCTCACTGCATTTTCATGACAAGCCTGGGACATGGGTATAACTGTCACCCCCATCTTACGGATGAGGCAGCTTGCCCCGATATCCGCCGATGAGTGACCCGGAAGAACCTGAGACCCACAGCTGCTGGACTCCAACATCCAGGGTGGGAAGCACTGGGCTGTGTTGCGGTTTCCCAAATGCAGGAAGGTCTCTTAAGTGTTCCGTATTTACTCTTTTTTTTTTTTTTTTGAGATAGATTTGTTCATCGATAATTTTTATTTTTTAAATTGATGGGAAAAATCCTCTTGCAGGGATGGACTGGAGGTGAGGGCAGTTGAAGGGATGAGTGGGAAAGCCGACAGCCAGGAGCTCCCAGAACTAGCATGGACAAGAGATGCTCCAGAACTGGCAGGGACAAGAGATGCTCCCAGAACTGGCATGGACAACAGATGCTGCTGTTGGAGGACATGGGGCTGGTGTTGGGGTGGGCGTGCACTTGCCATCCTTTTATTTCTTCCCCAACCTACTACCTCTGTCTTCCTATCCTCGAGATACTGACAGCACATTTTTATTGAGTTTCTGCCATGCGTAGGCATCGGGGGGAGGCCTGGGAGGCCCTGATACATCAGGCTTCTTGGCCTCTCTGTGCCCGCCATGAACCAGCCTCTCTTCCTTCACCTCTTCTCATGGCCTCTGTCCCCCAGGTTGGAGTGCAATGGCGCGATCTCGGCTCACTGCAACCTCCGCCTTCTGGGTTCAAGCGATTCTCCTGCCTCAGCCTCCCGAGTAGCTGGGATTGCAGGCGTGCTCCACCACCCCTGGCTAATTTTTATACTTTTAGTAGAGACGGGGTTTCACCATGTGGGCCAGGCTGGTCTCGAACTCCTGACCTCAAGTGATCTGCCCACCTCCGCCTCCCAAAGTGCTGGGATTACAGGTGTGAGCCACCGTGCCCAGTCCCTCTTCATTTCTTCTACACATCTTTCTGTCCAGCATAGAGGCAGCAGTGGCCAACAGGAGACACGCACCTGTGGCCTTCCCAGCACAATTCTGAGGACTTCCCTGAATATTCCAACTCTGGGACATCCCCTCTGAGCTTTCATTCCAGGAAAACCATGCTTCCTTCTCAAATTTCTAAATAGGATCAGAAGCTCTTACTTGTGGACTAGCAAAGACAAGGGTTTAGATTCTAGCGCTTCAAATAGGACTCCGTCTGGTGAATCCCACCAGGACGTGAGCTCCCCAACGAGAGCCACTTCAGAGAGAAGTTCCCTTAGGCTCCCTGCCCTCCCAAATCTGCACTAACTTCAGGCTACATCCAGAGATACCAAGGGAAATTAGATACAAATTGTACCCTGGATTTGACTTTGCAATTGGAAGAAACCTCGATTTGTGAGGGTAAAGGTCACCGCCTGGAAGGCCTAACCCAAAGGCCAGCCCTGTGGCTTGGCCAGGCCAAGAGAAGCCTCCCCTAATTGCCTATGGAAAAGAACCCAGGGTTAAACTGTTTATCTGGGTTATGCTCCCAGGTTAAACTTCCTAAGTGAACCGACCCAAGGAGGTGAAACCTGAATTTCTAGATAAAGCTTTTCCATGTCTTTGGCCAGGTACACAGAACTGCAATTTAAAACTTCTGGGTTTTATGCCATGTGCCGTGGCTCATGCCTGTAATCCCAGCACTTTGAGAGGCCAAGGCAGGCAGATCATTTGAGGTCAGGAGTTCAAGACCAGTCCGGCCAACATGGTGAAACCCCGTGTCTATTAAAAATACAAAAATTAGCCGGGCGTGATGGTGCACACCTGTAATCCCAGCTACTCAGGAGGCTGAGGCAGGGGAATCGTTTGAACTGGGGAGGCAGAGGTTGCAGTGAGCCGAGATTATGCCATTGCACTCTAGCCAGGATGACAGACTGAGACTCCAAAAAAAAAAAAACTTCTTGGTTTTGCTAGTTGTCTGTGAATTAAATCTATGATTCCAGCCGAGAAGCCTGCGACATCCTGGTGGCATCTCCCACCCAGGGCCATCACCCTGCGATAATCCTGGTCTGTGTGTGACGGCTGACTAGCACAAACGCTCTCAAAGAAGTACTGTGCAGCCACTGACGGTGAGGCTGGGGACAGCGTCTGTGAACATGGGTTCGTGGTATATTCCGTAGAGGAAAGGGCTGTGATACAATGTGTGCAATTAAGACCCTGTTTTCATTTTTATTATTTATTTATTTTTGAGAAGGAGTCTCGCTCCGTCGCCCAGGCTGGAGTGCAGTGGCGCAATCCGGGCTCACTGCAACCTCTGCCTCCGGGGTTCAAGCGATTTTCCTGCCTCAGCCTCCTGAGTAGCCGGGACTACAGGCATGCACCACCATGCCCAACTAATTTTTTTTTTTGTATTTTTAGTAGAGATGGGGTTTCATCATGTTGGTCAGGCTGGTCTCCAACTCTTGACCTCAAATGATCCGCCCGCCTCGACCTCCCAAAGCGCTGGGATTATAGGCATGAGCCCGGCCAAGACCTGTTTTTATAGAGTAGTTTTTAAAATGTTGGAATAGACATACACCCAAATGTCAACATTGGTTATCTTCAGACATTGGAAATATTTTTACTTAGCTGCATTTTCTAACTTTTCTACAATAAGTAGATGCCCTGTGTAATAAAATGTTTGAAATAACCACCATCGCCACACCCCGCCCTCACCTTGTTCCTCCAGTGGTTTCCCTTCCCCCAGCTCTCCTGGAATAGACCTGGCTGTTCCTGGCCCAGGACATGGGCACTGGCTGCCCCACACCCACCCCCCCTGCAGAGCTCTTCCTCCCCTCCTCCTGCAGCTGGCTCCTTCCTTCCATTCAAGTCTGAGCTTCCATTCAAGTCTGATCAGCCCTCCCCAGAAGCACTATCCCCCGCCAACGCATCCAAACCAATCACCTTGCCCCTACTCGATCATGCCATGGCATTTTAATCCCACATAAATCACTTGGTCCTAGCAGGTATTTCTCCTCTGTTTATTTGTCTAATGTCCGCCTCCTCCCTTGGGAATGTTTTGCTTGTTTCTGTGGCCCCAGCATCTGGAACGGTGCCGGGCAAAGAGAAGCCTACAATAAATACTTCTGGAGTGAACAAATTGAAGTGTGAGTCCTTCCCTTACTACTAGGAATAGCAGCTGCCACAACTGGGCTCTGAGCTAAGCACTCCACATTGGGGAATCACGCCGCATTCCCACTGAGGAAGGAGCCAGGCCATTGTTGACCTCTTTTAGTCCCAGAGACATAAAGTAACCTCCCCATCACCCCCCTAGTAAGTCGGCTGGTTCTGGGCTCTCTCATCTTGCCGCTCCATTGCCAAGAACATCCCCCATCCCCTGCCAGTGGCTGAGCCTGGCCCTGCAGGACATGGGCCTGGCAGGCAGATGATCCTGGCCCCACTGGCAGGGTCCCCACAACTCCTATCTCAGAAGGGCTTAGGGGCAGCAGCCCAGTTAGAACTGCTCATGGGACATGTCCACAAAGCTGCACACTCTGTTTGCTTAGACGATGGGTTTGGGGTGGCTGGGGCAGAGAGGGCTCATGAGTGCGGGGGCTGAAGCCATCCCTGGACTAATCCCCAGGTACTCACGTCCTGGTAGGGAAGGGCCCCGGCACAGGCTCAGGCTGGTGGCTTTAAACCAGTTTCCTTGCTGGAGGGTATGGCTCATCCCCAGGCTGGGGCGGAACGGCACCAGCGTATCCCCGCTGTGGAGAGCATGCAGCCCCTCCATGTTCACTGCGGAAGGAGACAAGTGCTCTCACACCCCATCCCCGCAGCCTCCTGGAGTGGCACTCAGGTGACAATGGTGACCGGAGGGAGCATGCACGAAGGCCTCCTCTTTGTATTTACGAATCCAGTCTCTCCACTGCCATCTGAATTAGGTCTCATCATCGCTTCCACTTCATGATGGAGAAGGAGCTCTCCAGGTGGGATAAGTCATTCAGACAGCGCAACCCACAAAGGGCACTGCAGCCCGGAGTGCGGGACGAGAAGGCAGCTCTTTGTCCTCACACCACGCTGCCTGTCTCCAAAGGACCCACTGCAGGGCGACTTGGTTAACGGCTGAGAACCCACTCAGCTCAGCAGAAACTCCAGGGAAAGAAGAGGAGGCCACATGGCCGCCTAGGACCTCTGCAACAACATGCTACCAGGAGACGGCAGAACAGGCAAGGTCAGGAAAGGGGAAGCGGATGATACTCTTTGATATTTCTGAAGTACCTCGGCCACAAGCAAGCACAGAGATGCATTTCAGTTTGGGATAGAAATGGCTATTTGCATTTCATCATCTTCGAGCAGGACCGCAGACAAATATGGGAACCATGATGGAGCCAAGTCAGCGTACTGCAGTGTGAGCCCAAGGTGATATCCAGCAGGCCTTCGAGAGGTGTGGGCACCCAGCGTGTAACATTGGCATTAACCACCAGTGACTCTGAATGTTCCTGGAAGATCAGTAAGCGTGCAAATGAGAAAACAGGATCGGCCCCCATCCCTACCTGATTGGAAACATATCAGGCCGCCCCCCTTTCATATCAAGTTTCCATTGTGAAGGCTGAAACTTTCAGTGCCCATTCCTCTTGCCACTGCCCTCTCTGTGATGCTGGCGCTTCCTCCTGCCGCTGTTCCTGGCAGGACACTTGAGCCAAGGGCAGCTTCTCCTCCTCTGCCTCCCCGAGCCATGCCTTTCATACATAAGGAATCAACAGTTTCCAATTTGATTCCATTCTTCTCCAACCACTTAAAGAAAAAGGCCTTATGGCCAGAACATTACCACTGATTTTTTTTTTTTTTTTTTGAGATGAAATTTCGCTCTTGTTGCCCAGGCTGGAGTGTAATGGTGCAATCTCGGCTCATTGCAACCTCGCCTCCCAGTTCAAGCACTTTTCCTGCCTCAGCCTCCCAAGTAACTGGGATTACAGGCATGTGACACCATGCCCAGCTAATTTTTGTATTTTTAGTAGAGACGGGGTTTCACTGTGTTGGCCAGGCTGGTCTCGAACTCCTGACCTCAGGTAATCCGCCCGCCTCGGCCTCCTAAAGTGCTGGGATTACAGGCGTGAGCCACCACTCCCCACCTTGGGTCTCGAACTCCTGACCTCAGGTAATCCGCCCGCCTCGGCCTCCTAAAGTGCTGGGATTACAGGCGTGAACCACCACTCCCCACCTTGCTGATATTTTTATCAGCATCTTTCCCTCTTTTAGCTGACAGAAACAAGCACTCGCTGTCATGCCAGAATATCTGGATTACAACTTGATTGTCTAAAAGATTTGGCAGGTTTTCATATTTTCCATGTGTCAGGGACCTGGAACGCTACTGTGTCCTGGCATGCCCTCAGCTGCTTTCCTGCCTATGGTATCTCCCAGGTGCCAGGTGCCCTATCCTGCACCCCAAAAGCCACGCTGGGAGACAGTCTGCCGGTCGAGCACCCTCACACCTCAACAAATCCCACCTGACTGCACCTGCTCTAAGGCAAACCTCAAAGAACGCACTCACTGTGAAGGACAGTAGTTAGCTGTATCAGATCTGTCTGTTCTGCTAGAGGCAAGCTCCTGGGGAAGGGACCGTGGAGGGCAGGACCACGCCTCACTCCCACCTTTGCATCTCCAGAGCCTGCACCGTGTGCACATAGCCCTCATCACAGGGCTTAATCAGAATTTGCTGAATGAATACGTGATCTTCCTATTGGCTGACAGCCATAAATCACCAGCTATAGAAGTGGCAGCCCCAGTAGCCATTGCATCATAGCATCCCAGGGCCAAAGAGAATACCAGAAGACCCTAATTTCACAGGCAGAGTTGCCTCAGCCCATTGACTGGCTCCAACTCTCAGATGTTTTTGTTTGTTTGTTTTTTGAGATGGCGTTTCACTCGTTTCCCAGGCTGGAGTGCAATGGTGCGATATCGGCTCACTGCAACCTCCACCTCCCAGGTTCAAGCGATTCTCCTGCCTCAGCCTCCCAAGTAGCTGGGATCACAGGCATGCGCCACCATGCCCGGCTAATTTTCTATTTTTAGTAGAGATGGGGTTTCACCACGTTGGCCAGGCTGGTCTCGAACTCCTGACCTCAAGTGATCCACCCACCTTGGCCTCTCAAAGTGCTGGGAATACAGGCGTGAGCCACCACGCCTAGCCTCAAAGATTTTTTTAAGAGGAGGTGTATTCCTCAGCTGCCCTTATCTTTCCTCCCATTGCCACCTTTGAAGACACTGAAGAGTTCTTTTTGTCCAGACTCTTCCTGGTCTACATAAATCCACTTCCCTTTGTTTTCCTCTCATAGGAAGTACAAAAACAGCAGCTCATTCTTGTATCGAAAGAATTCTCCCAAAAAAGAAGCTCCCAGGTTCTAGAGAGAAAGCTTTGAGGCCCTCAGTTTAAGCCATTCTGCCTTCCGCAGTGTCTGGGGGAAGCTGCTGTCGGGCTCAGCTCTCTCCTAGAGGCACCTTAAGGTGTGGAGCTTGGCTCCGAAAGCCAGGCAGGGAGCCAGAGGGAGGGCGCCTGCAACCTGCGAAGCTGTTTCTTACGTGATCATTTGCATACCTAAAAATTCACTGTTCATGGTAACAAATTCCTTTTAAACCACCTTCTGCACTGAGAACAAATCTGTTTTGCCAAGGTGAGGGGAGGGGCGATCAGCTGCCAGGGGCCACACTCCGAAGTGCGAACAGAATCTGAACCACCCTTTCACCGAAAATGCTGGCGTCTCACTGACCTGACTCTTTCTGACCTAGCAAGAGGGTACTGGGTTGTCCCACTCTTTGGAGCTCAAAATGGGCTCCTGTAAGCACCAGACACATATCACCTAATTTATTTCTCATCACACCCTGTGAGCAGGTACCATTATCATCATCCCCCCCTTTAGAGAGTAGGCGAATTCCGCACACCCATAAAACGACTCACTCAAGATCATTATCAGCCCTACATCTATAACTCACCGGATTGGTGTCTAGAGAGTTCTGCCTGGCTGATTTTCTCTGTTCTTCTAACTACTCCACAACTAAATGTTTCACAAAGCCATTTCCTCCCCAGATATTTATGTTCTCAAATGTTTATTGCCTCTCTATCATGATCAAGATTTTATGAGCACTCTATACCAGTTGTGAATTAAATACATAATTTCGGAATCATCGCATTCCAGTTTGGTTGCTACATTTGTCTCTATTACACTGCAGCAGTTGCCGTGGGCACCCGACAGATGACAACGGAACGCATGTGTCCAGGGGCAGCCAGAGTGACTGACATTTCAATCCAGAAGCTGCCACGGGGACCTGGTGATTCCCACCGTGAGCGGGAGAGAAGCTTCCACAGCTCACTGGGATGGGCAGAGGGTTCCAGAGCAGGACAAGGCTAGGACAGGTTCCCCAACTCACCCTCATGGCACCAATGCGGCCGTTTCCAACCTGCTGGCCTCTGGGGAAGGAGGGCCCGCCACCTCACGGCAGGTGAGGAAGACAAGGAGCAAAAGAAGGCCGTTTGTTTCCTCTGATGAGCAGTACCCACTCTCTTTTTTTTTTTTTTTTTGAGACGGAGTCTCGCTCTGGCGCCCAGGCTGGAGTGCAGTGGCCGGATCTCAGCTCACTGCAAGCTCCGCCTGCTGGGTTTACGCCATTCTCCTGCCTCAGCCTCCCGAGTAGCTGGGACTACAGGCGCCCGCCACCTCGCCCAGCTAGTTTTTTTTTTTTTTTTTGTATTTTTTAGTAGAGACGGGGTTTCACCGTGTTAGCCAGGATGGTCTCGATCTCCTGACCTCGTGATCCGCCCGTCTCGGCCTCCCAAAGTGCTGGGATTACAGGCTTGAGCCACCGTGCCCGGCCCCCACTCTCTTATAGAACAATCTGGGCTATGCCTGGGGGCCTACTGGTTAATCTGATCCTGTATGGGAAATACAGAAAGAAGATCGAGCCTGGAACAAAACTGCTACGATTTATTTTTCCCTCACATTTACCTGTATGCACTACCTGACTGACCCTCACAGCAGCTCGCACAATGTGGACTACCAATTCTACTTCGCAAGTGAAGAAACTGAGGCTCTGAAAGGCGGCAGCCACAGAGGTGGATCTGGTTCCTGTTTCCAGGCCTTTGCCCTTGCTGTTCCCTCTTGTGGCTAGCCCCTCAACACACTAAAAATGAAAATAACTGTCATTACTGGATATACTCTATCTGTATATCCATATAGAACTGCCGTGGGTAATAGAGCCATTCTTGAAAGAAAACATTTAGGGATATTTTAAATCCATCATTGATCCTAAGGGGGAAAAAAACTCCGTAAACCTTAAGTTTCATGATGACAAACATTTCCACAGCTTGAGCATGAGGAGGGCAATTCCACCGAAAGGGGCCACTAACTTGGGCAGGGCTGCAGTTTTGATGGCTCTGGGGGCCGTCCCTCACATTGCTGTCCTGATGTCCTCATGGTCTGCCATGTGGCATCACCCAGCTTAGATGAAGCCTTTGTTTCTTGGACGTTTCAGTCATTTCCAAAGCATCCATCACTTTCAGTCATCCAGTTCTTTATTGCCACCATAGAATTATGAGCTCTTGAGCACTTAGGTGGCACCCATTAAAAACAGAAGTGGAACCACCGTTCCCTTCCAGGGTTTTAATCTGGAGAAATAGTCATACGAATACGCAGAGTCACACATATGGCATGTTTATTACAGCACCATTTGCAAAGTGAAAAAGAAAGAAAAAAGTCTAAATGCTCTTCAGCAGGGCTTCCTACTCATCCATATCCTCATCAGTACTTAGTTTGGACAGACTTAATGTTTGACAAGCTGGTAGGAACAAAACAATGTACCATTATGATTTAAATTCGTATTTTCCGTTTTCCTTTTTTTGTTTGTTTATTTTTTTGAGACAGGGTCTGGCTCTGTCGCGCAGGCTGGAGTGCAATGGTGCAATCTCGGCTCACTGCAACCTCTGCTTCCCAGGTTCAAATGATTCACTTGCCTCAGCCTCCCAGGTAGCTGGGATTACAGGCCTGTGCCACACGCCTGGCTTTTTTTTTTTTTTTTTTTTTCTGCATTTTTAGTAGAGACGGTTTTTCGCCATGTTGCCTAGTCTGGTCTCTAACTCCTGAGCTCAAGTGATCTGCCTGCCTCAGCCTCCCAAAGTGCTGCGATTATAGGCATGAACCACTGCATTTCCATTTTCTAATGAGGTTTAGCAACTTTTTATGTTTTTTGGGTCTTTGTGTTTTTTCTTTTGTGAAATCCATGTTCACGTCTTAAAAAAAAAAAAAAAAACGAAACAGCCTTACTGAGATATAATTCACATACCATAAAATTCACTTATTTACAGTGTACAGTTCCAGCCGGGCATGGCAGCGCACACCTGTAATCCCAGCACTTTGGGAGGCCGAGGTGCGAGGATCGCTTGAGCCCCAGAGTTCCAGACCAGGCTGGGCAAAATGGCAAAACCCTGTCTTTACAAAAAATACTAAAA